TCGACCTCCTCCACCTCCTCCTCCTCCTCCTCCTCCTCCTCCTCGTCGACCTCCTTGGGTTGATCGCGGAGAAAGCCTGTAGTTGTCCAGTTTGAACCAGTCGAGGAAAGACAACTTGGCGCCGGGCTTCAGTATCCGGAAAATCTCCTGCAGCAACTTATCCAGGTCCTGGACGTACCTATAAGAGCGGCGGCTGGTTCTGTCAGACTTTCGGCCGCTGGGGCCGTCAGGACGACTCAGGACATGACGCTGGCACTGGGAAAGGATCGAGAGCTTCAGGGGCCGTGGACTTGAGACGATCTGTTCGTCGGAAGTCTGTGGAGTCACAACGTGGCTCCCCAGAGGTCTGGATCCCTTCCTGGGGAACGGCTCTGCATCCTTTTTTCTGTTCAGAACGGCTCGCCAAGCAAACCAGGAGAACCCCAAGAGCCGCCCTGCGATAGGACAACTCATGAAGTGAACCGTGGCCTGAAAGGGAGACTGCTCACGCTAAAGGTAACGTAGTTCCCCCTCCCCCTGCGCCGGCCGCAGGCCAGAGGATACGAGCGCTGCCCGCCCGGGACACGGGCGCCGCCCGCCCCGCAGCGGCCGCGGTCGGTCTGGGGCGGCCCTCGCTGCTGGGCATCGCCCCCGCCCTGTTCCGCCCTGTGAGGCCCCCCGTGCCCTCGTGGCGTGCGCACTCGCTTTCGCCCCCGTGGGATGCCGAGCGCGCAGGGTCTGCGTGGGTTCGGTGTCGACACTGCGCATGCCAATTTTGTGTTTCGCCCCTTCCCTTTGAGGAATTCCCACCTCAGGACCAGGGCACATCGCGGACGGCATCGTCGTTGCGCCCCACCCGGGCGACTGGGCGACTCTCTTCCCTTTCCTCCTTGGCGAGGATCATCGGCCTCAGCCACTCCGGTGGAAACCATCATAGGCCCCACCCCCTCGGCAGCTGCCATCATAGGGGCTACCGGGGGTCCCGCTCCCATTCTTAACACTTTCACCTTACGGCGCCATTGCCAATGGAGGGTCGAGGCTCTCCCTACAGCCCCATCGGCCAACGAAGACGGCCGTAGGAAGGGGTGCCAACGTACCTCCACAACTCAGACCTTCAAGACCTTCAGGCACCAATTGCCACCATTCAATGTTTTCCTCCTCCCCCCTCCTCCTCCCAGCTCCCCCCTCCCTCCCCCTCCCCCTCCCTGCTGTTCCTCTCTCCTCCTTCCCCTTTTCGCCCTCCTCATGCTCCTCCTCATCGTCCTCTCCCTCCCTGCTGCTCTGGAGGGTAGGCGGAGGAGGAAGAGAAGAGAGAAAGGAACATGTTTTACAATGTTCGCCCTGTCTGGGCCTCCTCCGGAACTCTCGTCGCCCCAGCCGTATTCTCCCTGAAACCCCGTTCCAGAACAGGTCTGGCGCTCGAGTTTGACAAAAGGTTTTCGAACTTCTTAGAACTTTGCTCCTGAAACTGTGTCTTCTTATGTTTTACCCTCAAGCGGCTAGCTCCATCGGACCTGCAGCATCACTCGAGAATTCGCAGTGCCGGGCAAATCTTCGGGGCGTCAGGGCGGCATCCAAAACCAACACTGCCCTCGAACGGCTGCTCGAATCCACGGTGGCTTCGACGGCGACCGACTCGGGCTTACGCGGACCGCCAGGGCGGCACGCAGTACATTGACAACATAGGCGCGCACGCGCGAACTTGTGCGGGCAGCTTAGCGAATGCCGTCGCAGTCGAACCCGTTCTTCTGCGTCGCCCAGGTGGTAGCAGAGGATTTGAGAAGAGGTCTCCAGCCCCAGGAAGAGGGGTACGTGAGCGCCTGCACGTGGTACAAGGCGTCGAACGTCTCGTTCGTAAACGGCAAGGGCTTGTTGTAGTTCCCCTCGACGAACTGAAGCTGAGACCCGTGCATCCCCTCGGCCTTGGCGTGCTCCTCCGCCATCCGTATCTGCGTCTTGTCGATGTTGAGGCCCACCACCTTTTGGAGGGAGAAAGGCAGCATAGATCTGAACTCTCCAAACTTCGAGCGGATTCATCGGGATCGGCGCTGGGCCCCGCCCCCTCCCTGGCGCGCGGAGCGCGCCAGGGGCGGCGCCAGAGGCAAGGGGGGCCCGGCGCCGGTCCTGAGAAATCTGCGTTGGGCTTTGAGCTTTGCTCTGTTTACTCAGCCTTGCTTCCTCGAACCTTGGCCCCCGTGTACTTTGCGACGTGGTGCGCGATGCGCCCCCTGCCGCAGCCCACGTCGAGGACTTGCTTGCCCGCGCCCACGTCGAGCTTGTCGGCCATGCCCTTCTCCTCCCACAACACCTGGTTGCCAAACACTCCGAGACTCAGATCCATGACGGGTGGGATGTACATCTTCTCCACCTCGCCGATGGCGCACAAATGATTCACTACCTGGTAATATCCCTTGATGTGCTCCCCATCCTCATCTCCCGTGTAGTTCTCCTTCTCGAAGAGCTCGTACGACTTCAGGAATGTATCCAAGTGTTCCTTCGGCAGAGTGTACAATGCGTACAATGCCTTGGCTGAAGTGGAAGCGCGGTACCACAACACCTTGGGGCTTTGCTGCTCCCACCCGCAGATCCCGGCGAGGGCGGCCACAGCAAGCACGAGCAACGAGGTACACAATCCTGCCGGGAAAAACTACACCGTAAACGATCAACAAGTATGAGATGAACGAGCTGCATAAACATGATCTTCTCGAGGGCCGCACGGATGTATCGGACTGGTGCTGGATCCCCCACCAGGTGCGGCGCCAGAGGCGCCGCCAGGGGGTGTCCGGCGCCTACCAACGAAATCCGCGCGGACCTCGGAATGTTCCAAACGGCGCTAGCGCTTTGAGGTTCTCACTTTGGTCATGCACCGAAGCAACTGGACAAGTGCGCCGAGGTTTCGCCTGACGCCCAAATGGTGGCTGGTCATGGGCGCCTCGCGGGCGCCGTGCGCTGGTTGGGTCCGCCGGGATTTCGCCTGGCGCCCGGCTGGTAGCCGGTCGTGGGCGCCCTGCGCGCTGGGTGGGTTCGCCAAGGCCTCGTGGGGTGACCGCCCGAAAGCGCCTCGTGGGCGCCCCGTGCGCTGGGTCGGTCCGCCGGGTTTCGCCTGGTGGCCGTCCGTGGGCGCCCGTATGGGGTCCGCTGTAGATTGCACCACGCACTCGGCAGCACATGGCTTGCGCCACATGGATTGCGCCACGCAGCTTGCACTGCATCATAGACTGCACGGTATTGCACTACGTACTAGTACACCACACACAGCCTGCACCACATAGCCTACACCACGTACATCGTCGCAGGCCTAGAGATTGACACCAACACCAATTTCGGCGGTGTGCCTCCACCGAGGGAAGAAGATCTCGATCTCGGCGATGGTGGTAATCTTCTGGCTTCCAAGGTGACCGAACTATTACCACCAACACCGAAAATCGAGGATCACCTTCCCCCTGTGGAGGCACCCCCCTGTCTTGGTGTTGGTGCCAATTTCCAAGCCTGCGACATCGCACCACAGAGATTGCACCGAATATATCACGCATCCAGGGTGCAACGATGCACTGTTTGGTGTCCACGCTGGCAAACCTGTTCATGATGGTTTGCTGTTCTTCGATCTTGAGCGTCCAAGACCGCAAGGAGGAGAAGGAGGGAGAAGCATGGCAAACATATCTACGCCCACGCTGGAAGCGGCCGAGGGGTCTGCGTTGGATGGGCCCAAAGAAAAGGGATCAAGAGGGGAGGACGAGGGCAACTCCGTTCAAAATCTGTCCTCGGAACCCTGCCGGGATCGAAACTGGTCAAACTTTCGAGCCGCGTCCAGCCAGGGCGACGAGGGGGCCCCGTTCTCCCCCGTTTTGCCGGCCAGAACCAGTGCTGGGCCACCCATGCCACCTCAGCACCCCAGCTGGACCCAACGCCCACGTATGCCGTAGATCTCTCCCCTCTCGAGTCCGACTGCGGCCATCTCCGCGGGCGAGCGCTGGAACGACCAGGCGCTCGGCGCACGGCAACGCCTTCCCAGGCGGACTGGCCTGAACCAAAATTACTCAAGTGGGCGCCTTCCTAGACTAAACTTTCGGGTCGGACGAAAAGGGGGGGAGGGACAAGAGAAGAAAAGTAGCGAATATAGAGAATGGAGGATTCCCGGACGGGGTACGGGCGATGGGATCGGAGGATTGAGGGGCATCGCCGATGCATCGGCGACGTTGGCGATGCATCGGCGCCGTCGGCGCGATAAGAATCGGGTTCCATATCGAGCCGCATCGCCGATGCATCGGCGACGCGACGCGATCCTCCGACGCCATCTTCTCGGGCCCCATCTGGGAGGCCTGGACAGAATCAGCTCGCGTGGCTGGTTTTCCTGGAGCCTCCTAGCGCCAGGGCCAACATCCACTGGGATCTGGGCCCAAACGAGCCTGCGGAAGCTTGGTGCTGCCGGTCAGCACATTTCTTCCTGCCTGCCCCCCGATTCCATCCCCTCCCCTCCCCCCTCCTCCCTCCCCCTCTTCTCTCCTGATCCTCCTCCTGCTGCTCGTCCTGCTGCCCGACCTGCTGCCCATCCTCCTCCTCCTCCTCCTCCTCCTCCTCCTCCTGCTCCTCCTCCTGCCCCTCTTCCTGCTCCTCCTCCTCCTCCTCCTCCTCTTGCTCCTCCTCCTGCTCCTCCAGATCCTCATCCTCCTCGAAGGAAGATGAAGGGGGAGGGAGAAAGAGCGAGGAGGGACGATACTCAACCCAACATGCATCAAAGATCCTTCGGTACACCCGCCACCCCCAAGTCTACTCCTCAAAGTCGGCCTGGTGATTTTTATTTGATACGGGGATTCTCCCGACGACCGCCCAACGGACATGCTACCTGGGCCAGAACCACGCGTTGAAAAAGGGGGCCGCCTCCATCCATATAGCCCTGAACATGCGATCACTAGCTAAATAAAGGAGTAATTATGAGTAGTCCCAGGGTGCAAGTGATCAAGAGCAACCACCTTCCATCCCTGGACCCAATGCCCAATGTTTCGGCTTCGGGCAATGGCGCCCAAGAGAAAGTCAAGCGAGAGAGCCGTGTTGAAGGGTGGCAGCCCTCCCTCGCTGGAGTTGGAAGCGGCCGATGGGGTCTGCGCTGGATGGCCCCCGAGAAAATCGGCTGAGAGGAAGGGGGGGGGGGGCGCACGAGGCCAAGGAAGGCAAGGAATTAGGCCGACCCGACCCTAAGTCGATACCTGGCGAGCTCCCCAGGTCCTACCCAAGCAGTGTGTTCAGGCGATGATCCCGCCTCTTGAGCTGCTTTAACCGAGCGCGCATCCAGCCCTGAAGCCGCAGAACCCCCCTCGGAGGCGACAGGTTGGGTGCATGCCGCAGGTCGTGATAGGACTGAAAGATGAGATCAAGGAAAATCGCACAGGCAGATAGCTCGAGCTGAGAAGAAGCGGCCCAGGGGAAGATGGAGGCACGCTGCGGCCCCGGAGCGAGGAAAAGAAAACAGGCAAATGCAGGACGGCACTGGCACTATACATAACAACAGGGCACTCAAGATAGTGAAGGAAGTTGTCGGCCCCAGGCGCCAAACAGAAAACGCAGCCACAGGTGGGCCCGCGGAACCTGGAAGAACAGCACCAGCCGTTCGAAAACGTTTTCAAACCAGAGACGATAACGCACGAGGGAACCAGCTGTTCTAATCTACGGAGCGCCACCAGGGCTAGGTCAAGATCACAACACCTCGCGGAGACTCCCAACTTCTTCATCCGATACAAGAGCGGGACACGATACCCTTCTGGGGCAAGATGATAGAGCCATTTTTGTCGTAGCAGCTTGGATCCTCGGAGTTCCAGGAACGGGTACTTTGGGCACGGCACATAATTGATCATAGTAAGAGATAAGTGCGTGCATGGACGACTGCAACCATAGGGGGTCCCTGTCCCATAGAAGTTTGCACTCGTCGCTGGCGGCCATCGCCTGGATCCGCGTCTTCGCGCGATAAAACTCCATCGAATTGCAGGCGAAACGGTGTGGCCCTCGAAACCAGATGCGCCGTTAAATTCTCGAGCATGGCAGGGCTAAGAGCGTTCCGCGGGGTCTGCTCAGGTGGACGGAAGACTGCGTCCACGGCATCGCTGGGGGCATCCCCCTTGGGTAAGAAAACAGCGATGCCATGATTAAATTCATCAGGAAGTCGCCCATGAGCGAGAAGTTCCTGGTACACTTCAAAGAGAGGTTCCATCGTGCAAGTACCGCCTCGAAACCAAGCGCTGTACGGAATTCCGTCGGGCCCAGGACACGAGTCACGAGCATATTGAGCATGCTGACAGAATTCATCGAACTCAAGTTCCCAGAACATGAGAGGGGGCACCTGCGCGATGAAGGGTATGAGTTCTTGCCGTCTGACATCTTCACCTTCGACGAAAGCATGCACTTGCCCCCAATGCGCCGACAGCAACTTAGCCGCTGCGCTAGGCTCAGAAACCTGGAGACCCGTCGGGTCGGAAATAGCAGAGAGCGAGATCCTCCTCCTCCTTCGGCCCCAGGCACAGAGGAGGGGGAGGAGGAGGAGGAGGAGGAGGAGGAGGAGGAGGAGGAGGAGGAGAGTAAATCCGCTCGGTCCCCGGACCCCTCCCAGGGTCGAAACCGACAAGTTTGTCGAGCCGCGTCCAGCCTTGGCGACGAGGGGGCCCCTTCCTCCCCCTCCTCCTCCTCCTCCTCCTCCTCCTCCTCCCTTCCCCATTTCCTTGGCCCGGAGCTAGTGCTGGGCCACCTCGGCCCCCAGCTGGCTCCAACTGGGAGCTCCTGGGAGCTCTTGGAAGCCCTCAGGGGCTCCCCGGGAGCTCCCCAGGTGGGGCAGGAGGCTCCGAAGAACACTTCCCAGACCCACTCGTGGGGCGTGCACTGACCAGCATTGGGCATTGGGTGGCGAATTCAGCCCTAGAGACGAGGGCCGCCCAGGAGGGCAAAACAAGGCGAGAACGAGGGAAGAGCATCGGTATCTGTACGGGAACTCTGTGCTTTTGGCAGGGCCGTGCGCGCTGTTGTCGGTGCACCACAGGACTCGAGTGGTCGCGAAAAGCGGAATGGCCACACAAAGTCCACCCAACAGCAGGGCACAGGGGACAGGACAACGCATACAAAGAGCAAGAAACAGAAAGAAGGGGGCCAGAAACACGAAAAACGGAACTGACAGAGCGCCCTGCTTTTCACAGAGACATGCGTCTCGGGACTCCAGGGCGGACCCTCCCATTAGAAGACAGTCGACACAGAGGAACAAAGAGATCAAGACCACGTAGACGCAGCAGAGGGGCCAAAAAAGGGGGCAGGAAAGGAAAACAGAAAAATCCGCCGACCCAGTCGGCGTGTGTGAGACGCTATCGTCGTCTTCGCCGTCGTCGTCGTCGCCAGCCCCAAGGAAATCCAGAAACGAACACAGAAAAGAAAAAGAAGCGTCGCAGTTAGGTCGCTGTCCTCCTTTTGCCCCTCCCTGACAGAGGGCGGGGTGGGGGGAGGGGAGCAGAGGAGCGGGGGTCCCGGGTCAGACGACGGCCCTCCCTGGGGGCCCGGCGGCCCTCCTGCCTCCCCCCCGGGCGGTCCCCCTGTGGAGAGGGGGGATGGGCGGAGGTGGTCTCCCTGCCGGCAGGGGAGCTCAGGACCCCTCCCCCCCCGCCTCGGACCCGGCCCTGGCCCTGGTCCCGGCCGCTCTTTGGGCAGGGCCTGGTTCAGATGAGATCGGGACGGGCAGTTATCTAATCGCTTCGCTCATTCCGCCGGCCCGTATTGTGCCCTCGCTGACGTTTGGGCTTTGGGGGGCCTTTGGGGGGCCTCGTGAGGGCCTTTTGGGGGCCTCCTGGGGCTTCTTAGGGGCCTCTTGGCGCCTCCTGGGGGCTTCTTAGGGCCGAGGGCTCGAAATGCTGTTCTGTGTTCCCCCTCTGGGGCTTCTCTGAGAGCGTCCTTGGGGCCCTCTTGGGCCGTCTTGGAGGCCTCTTGGGCCGTCTTGGAACCCTTTTGGGTCATCTTAGGGCCCTGTCGGAGGCCTCTTAGGGCTATCTTTGGGGCCTCTTGGGCCGTCTTGGGGCGTCGCTATGCCGAAAAGGTGGAAACGCCCAAATCCCCCCAAAACCTAAGGAAAAGCTCTGATTTTTGCCTCTTGGGGCCCTCTTGGGAGTGCTCTTGAAGGCCTCGTGGGGCGTCTAGGGGCTATCTTGAGCGTCTTGGAGCGATCTTGTGGCGTCTCGGACCCTTGGTATACCATCTTGGGAGCCTCTTGGGCGCTCTTGGCCCGTCTTGGGACTCTCTTGGCCCTTCTTGGGACTCTCGGGGACGTCTCGGGGCCCTGTTGTCGCGCTCCTGGGGCGCTCTGGGGGCTTCTCCCTGGGTCGGGGTGCTTTTCGTCCGGGGACCCCCAGGGGCCGCCCCGCGCGCGCGAACTAGAAATACTGTGAACCAGTTACCGGAGATCTTAGCACGCCTCTGGCCCGTTGGGCCGGCGAATTTTGATACTCGGACTCTGGAGCCCGCCCACCACGAAACTGAACAACAACGCATCCAGCGCGAAGATCGTGTCCAGAACTCTGGATAACCCATGCATCAACAAGTTACGATACGAAAAAACGAAATATCTGAGGTCTGGGTGCCAAAACCTTCAACTCAAGGGCGCAAGGAAGGGATACAAGACGCTTGCCCCTCCACGCAAGACCCTTGAACATCTAAGATTGCCCAGGGAAGAATTCGCCGACCCAACGGGCCAGAGGCGTGCTAAGAAGATCTCCGGTAACTGGTTCACAGTGTTTCTAGTTCGCGCGCGCGGGGCGGCCCCTGGGGGTCTCCGGACGAAAAGTGCCCTGGCAATGTCCTGGGAGAAGCCCCCAGAGCGCCCCAGGAGCGCGACAACAGGGCCCCGAGACGTCCCCGAGAGTCCCAAGACGGGCCAAGAGAGAGTCCCAAGAAAAGCCAAGAGCGCCCAAGAGGCTCTCAAGATGGTACACCAAGGGTCCGAGACGCCACAAGATCGCTCCAAGACGCTTAAGATAGCCCCCAGACGCCCCACGAGGCTTCCAAGAGCAGTCCCAAGAGGGCCCCAAGAGGCAACAAATCAGTGTTTTTCCTTAGGTTTTGGGGGGATTTGGGCGTTTCCACCTTTTCGGCATAGCGACGCCCCAAGACGGCCCAAGACGCCCCAAAGATCGCCCTAAGAGGCCCGAGAGGCCTCCGACAGGGCCCCAAGACGGCCCAAAAGGGTTCCAAGACGGCCCAAGAGTCCTCCAAGACAGCCCAAGAGGGCCCCCAAAACGCTCTAAGAGAAGACCCAGAGGGGGAACACGGAACAACATTTCGAGCCCTCGGCCCTAAGAAGACCCCAGGAGGCGCCAAGAGGCCCCTAAGAAGCCCCAGGAAGCCCCCAAAAGGCCCTCACGAGGCCCCGAAGAAGCCACCAAGCGGCTCCCAAGCGGCTCCAGGAGGCCCCCAAATGCCCCCCGACCACGCTAGCAAGTGCCAGCGATGCTACAATATGGGAAGCGAGCACAAAGAAATTCTGGGAAACTTCTGCGCAGCAATCTGTCGACCCTCCTCAGGCACTCCTCCTCCTTCTCCTCTTCCTCATCCTCCTCTTCCTGCGGTCGCATTCACAAGCCGCCACCCTCCAAAACGGAAAGGCTCAAACTTGCGACGAATACCTCCGACCTGCGACATGGCCCCACAACGGCCATCCAAAATCATCAACCCCTCACCGACACGAGCAAGACCAGAACCGTGATCACCCACGATTGCCCCAGGACAACCCCGCCAGAATCTGCGACGAACCCTCGAAACCAAATCCAAAGTCACTGCGACCCCCTCAAGAATGCATCCCCAAATCGACAGAAGTGCGACAGTAAAGGCCGCCGGAATGAGCGAAGCGATTCAATAATAAGGATGCGACATACTCTTCCTCTTGACCTAGACCTCTGCAACTCCCCCCCCCTCCACAGAACTTCGTTAGGTCCGTAGCGCGTTAGTTGCGCTTCAGGCGCCTCGGGCCCTGCGCAGGGACTGACTCGAAGGCCGCCCTCCCAGAGCCTGCAGACGAGACTCTGCTACGGCACCCGGGGAGGCCGACCAGCCGCCGAGAGCCAAACCCAGCCCCCCAGAGGAACCGCCGAGCAGGGCGAGGCCCAGGCCACGGCTGCAGGGCGACGTGCCCCCTCCCCCCCCCACGATGCGAGGCAGACGCATCAGGCGGCAGGGCGCTATGTTTGGCGCGTCAGCCAAGAAAGAAACTGCGGGAGACTCCTGTGTAGCATTGGACCGCGAGCTGTGGAGCCCCACACATTGGAAACAAATGGTGCACAGTGCACGGTGTCGAAAGCCCGGGGGCGCCCGAAATTCAATATGAAGGTGCAGGGCAAATGTGCAGGGTCCTTGGGCATCCGTGCAAGACCCGTGGAACTCCAGGATTGAATTAAGGACGGACTGGGAGACACGGCATGCAAAGATGCCCTTGCAAAGCACAGATGAACACATGTTCTCCGCTCTTGGGAAAACTTTCGACTGCACATCTGTCCCCTGTCGGAGGGAGGGCTGGATATTGGCTGTTGGTTCCCATACGTGCGCGAGCTAGCCCCACCTCCGTAAGGACCTTGACACTATCTTGTCTTGGCCCGTGTTCGGGCGCTGTGAAGACGCACTTGAATAACAAGTTCACGACACACGACACACACACATGAATCTGCATTCGCAAAGACACACACGCAGGTTTCCGCACACGCGGGCTTCCACGCGCACAGGGGTTCCTCACGCACATACACACACGTATGCACGCGCGCACGCACGTGCACACAACATACACAAACAAGTACACGCAAAAACGAAACCACACGCACCCACACACAACCACAAACACAGATGCACACAAACACCACACACACAAAGATACCAAAGCACAGTCACAAACGCAATCACACACAAGCACACACCAAACCAAACAACACACACGAAGCAGCCACCATGAACGTCTACACACATGGGTATCCAAACTGGCTGCACGGACGAATTGTGTGGGGTCAACACGTCCACACACTGGCGACATGTCTTTCACATCGTCAGGTACCAGAGATTCCACCGCCCTTTTCTGAACTTTCAGCGAGCAGTGGCGCAAGGTCTGCTTACCCCTACACAGCGCGGCCTGGCAAGGCTGCTCGGTGCGGCCAGGGCGCCAGGGCGAGGATAGCAATTCGGGCATGACATAGGACACCACTACCAACCATGTTCATCAGCGCCAGCACCATCAGCATAATCGTGCATAATCAGCATCAACATCATCATCAGCCTCACCACCATCAGCATCAGCATCAGATCAGCATCATCATCACCACCACCATCACCACAACCATCATCATCATCACCATCATACTCATCATCATCGTCGGCGTCGTTATCATCATCATCATAATCATCTTCCTCCTCCTCCTCCCTTCACCACCACCACCATCATCATCATCGTCATCGTCATTATCATCATAACCATCCTCCTCCTCGCACTCCACCACCACCACCACCATCATCACCACCACCATCATGATCATGATAATCATGCTGATCATCATTATCATCATCACCACCACCATCATCATCATCATCATGACCGTCGTCATCATAATCCTCTCCTCCTCCTCTCCCCACCACCACCACCGTCGTCATCATCATCATCATCATCACCATCATCATCATCATCATCGTCATCATCGTCATCATCATCATCATCAACATCATCAACAACATCATCAGCATCAGCATCACCATCATCCTCCTCATCATCATCACCATCTCGTCACTACCAGCACCACCATCCTCCTCCTCCTCCTCCTCCTCGGCGTCGTCTTCGTCATTCCCTGCACCCCCTTCAGCATCACCAACACCGTGCCACGGCGCTCCTCCGCCCCACTCCATCCCCTATGCGCTGCCCTCCATATCGCGCACGAATCTCAAGGACCAGAGGGGGCAGCGGAGCCTCCGGCGCCCGCGGGGGGACGGCCAACCCTCTTGGCGGCCGCCGTGCGCGACGGGCTGTACCAAAGAAGACAACACGGCACGAGCATAAACTTTTGATGGGTCAATCTTCCACCACCACTACCATAGGTAGGACGGGGGAGAAGGGAGGATGGGGAAGTCCTCCTCTTCCTCCTCCTCCTCCGCTTCCTCCTGTTGCTCCTCCCTCCTACCTAAGGCAGTGGCGGTGGAAAAGCGGGCCATCAACGTTTGGATGTCCGCGCGGGATTCTCGGATCGGCGGCGCCTCCGGCGCCGCCGCCGACGCGTTCCGGGTACCCAGGAGGGCCAACGCCGATCCATGACCCAGACATCCGGCCGCCTCAATCTCTGTCGCCGCATGGGTCTCTGGACAACTTCCCTGGAGCCGGCTTTTCGTCGTGAAGTCGTAGCTTGATGGTCCCGGGGCCCCGTGAGGGCCCCAGAGGCCGGAAACGGCCCAGATCCGGACGCTCCAACTTTTTAGGAGCCTGTGAACTCTGGGGGCATCCCGGGCGGACCTTCGAAAGTTGATGTTCATGCCGTTTTCCCGTCGCATGTCTAAGTGATGCGTGCAGGGTGCTAGGTAAAGTTAGGTCGGGCCTGTCCCCTTACAGGGGGATTGTTGGACATAAAATGCAAAATACTCAAACAATGCCCAAAAGATGCCCAAACTTACAAACAAAATAATGTCCCCAGACTATTTTCTGACTATTTTTGAATATTCCCCCTATGGAGGGACAGGCCCGCCTTAAAGGTGAAGTCCAGCAACCAGGAGGGCGCCCCCGAGGGGACATCGAGGGAGAAGCCGCGCGCTCCCGCGCGGGGCGGGGCACCCAGGACCTTGCTGGCCACGAGGGGGCGACTGGGGGAATGACGAGGAGGAGGAGGACGAGGAGGAGGGCGACGAGGAGGAAGAGGAAGAGGAGGAGGAGTGGGACGAGGGGGAGGAGGGAGGTGGAGGTAGAGGAGGTAGAGGAAGTGGAGGAGGAGGAGGAGGAGAAGTAGGAGGAAAAAAAGTAGGCATAGGATGAGATGGTCCGAAAATGTCGAAAGCCAACGACGACGACGACGACCAGGTGCTCCCGAGGGGGTTCTCCCGGCGAGGCTGGGGGCGCGACCTAATGGCCGGGGCCGGCCCAGGTCTCCCCAGGGGCAAGCAACCGAGGGGTCGGCCCATGCCCTGCCGAGGCTGGCGAGAGCCACTTCTGGCCGTGGCGACGAGGGGGCCCCGAATATGTCCAAAGCCGCCGCCGATCACGACGACGACGACCACGTGCTCCCGTCGGGGTTCTCTGGCCAGGCTGGGAGCGCGACGAGGGTGGATACCCGAACGGCGGGCATCACACCTTTCGGGACTCGACAATAGAAACAGTCGTTCGGGCGCCGGAATGGCGGGGTCGAGGACTTGAACGTGGGCGCGGCGCAAGTCTTGAATTATTGCGGACATGTTGCGGCAACATCGGTTCTAACCATATGCATTGGCGCGCGGCGCGAGCCCGATTCCACAGCTGACGTCTACCACTTCTGGCCTTCATGGCAGTAGTGGCAAAGAGGTATGGACGCGCAGTGCGGCGGGAGTGGCCAATCGCGCAGGGGACTGCGGCGTCGGGAGACCTTGGCCGGGTGCGGCAAAGCAAGAGGAACTGCGGGAACATCGCAACCACAGGGCACGTCGCCAACGGCCCACGAGGGCGCTCCTGTTTCCCCTCAGAGCACAGAATGGATACATGTAAACAGAAACTGAACAAACGTAACAAAGCATGGAGACATGCAGTCGAACAAAAAGTAAGAACCGGATGAAAACACACACGTTTTCATCTCTGCTGCACCCGAGGCTTTTCCACCACAATGGCGCCCCGCCTCACGCGCGGCCTGCCTGGACAAGGTGTCGTCGCGGCCAGGGCGTCGCCGCTTCCCCAATATAGCACCACTGGGAAAATGCCGCGCTCCCCCGCCGCCCCCAGAAGCGGTTTCTTGGCGCAGCGCTACCCGCAGGATGCGGCACTGACGTCGCCGCACTGGACTCCCTCATTTCTTTGCCACAACGAACATCGCGACCAATGACAGCGGGCGCCACTAATCATACCATGTTCCATCCGCGCGCCGCCGCATCTTGTCAGCGCCATCGCTAGGCTGGGCATGTCCTCCTACAGGCGGGTTTTGGAAGAACGATAAGAAGTCAAACAATACTCAAAGTAGTCAAAAGAGCACGAAACATCATCACCCAAGTAGTTTCGCTTTTCTTATTCTTAAACATTCTTTCAGTACAGGGACATGCCCGACTCCAGTCTAAGTGTAGCGCCCCCCAAGGGAAGGGAGAGATGAGGGGGTCGGAGGGGGACGTCCCAGGTGCAAGGTGGTGGCAAGAATCAGCGCCCCTCTAAGAGGGACTCCACTGACGGGTACTTTGGCCAGTGACCCGGCGAACCCAACCCTCCACGATGTGGGCAACGCTGCAATACCAGAAAGAAGCCCTAAAATGGCAACTCTCGGCAACTTTCCAACGCACCCGTGAGGGAGTACCCGTTACGGTGCCGCTGAAGGAAGGACGCCGACCTGGAACCAGAGGGCCCAAACCCGTAGCCCAAGGGACCTCACCGCGCGGCCCCTCACCGCACGGCCTGGGAACCTCGGAGGCCCCCGTCGCCCGAGACGTCCTCGGAGGACGGCCCAAACCGCAGAGCCGTGTGGCGACCCCGAGTCCGCACTGACTCTCCACGCGGTGTGGTCACCACACCGCTTGGAGTTGTGGATGCCACGACAATGGGCACCCTAACAGTCCTATCCTTGAATTTAAAATGTGTTTGAAATGTCGGAAAATGTTCTAAACATGTTTGAAACATGTTGTTTACATACTTAAAAAAACATGCTTAACACATGTTTTAGACACCTGGAAATTATTTGGCAACACGCTTCCTCTCCATTGATCGTCCTCCACAAGCTTGGGGCCCCCCGATGGAGGGAGGGGAGGGGGGCCGGAGGGGAGAGCGGCCGTAAGGGGAGAGAGGGCGGACGGGGAGGGTCCGCGCCCTCCCGGCGGCTGTGCATTCAGGACTGCCGAAAGGGAGCAGCGCAGTCAGTGGCTATCCGCCGACCCCGTGCACGGGCGCTTCGGGAAGCAAAGGCAAGTGCGAAGAGAGCTCCTCCTGCTTGACAATCTGAGTGCTACTCTCCTCTCTCCCCTGGTGGCGTCAGGGAAATGTTCGGCCCCCCTCTGCGCACTGGTTGTCTAAAGCCCAGGAATTAGGTTTTCGATTGGGTTTTTTCATCAAAAGGCTGCTCTCGCTGAGGCGCTGGCCTCATTTTCGTGCTACCGCTCGTTCCGAATCGTGCTCCCGCTGCAGCGCTGGCCGCATTTCCGCGCTTCCGCTCGTTCCGAATCGTGCTCCCGCTGCAGCGCTGGCGTCATTAATTCCAGCGCCATGCCACGGCATGGTTTTTGGTCCTTCTAAACAGGACCCAAAATCTGGAAAATGCCTCCCCCCCCCCCCGAAAAAAACATCGGAAGTGATTCCACATTCGGTGTCGATTCATTGATTGTTGGGTCGCAGAACCCCCCCCTCACTTTGGGCGTCGCCACGCCATGCTATGTCAGGCTACGCGTCCTCCGAATCGTGCTCCCGCTGCAGCGCTGGCCTCATTTCTGCGCTTCCGCTCGTTCCGAATCGTGCTCCCGCTGCAGCGCTGGCGTCATTATTTCCAGCGCCAGGCCACGGCATGGTTTTCGGTTCTTCCAAGTAAGCCCCAAAATCTGAAAAAATACCCCCCCCCGAAACAACCACCGGAAGTGATTGCACATTCGTGTCGATTCGCTGATTCTGTTGGACCGCTGAAGCCCCCCCACTGATCTTCAACACCATGCTATGCCATGTAATGCTGTGCTCTGCTACGACATCCGACTGTGCGAATAGAAAGGGAATCTACGCCATTGCAAGGAATGGGAGGGAGGGTTAGGACGTCAGATATGACGCGAGCGCACCTAGCTTGTCCTAACCCCTCCCCCCTGTCCCTCCTGCTTCGCCCCCATCGCCTCCTTCCTCCCCACGCCATCCTTTCCTCGTGCTTCTTCGACCAAGACGCTCTTCGGGAGGCCCCCGAAGAGCCCCAAATGTTGATTACCCTCCTCGTAAAATGCGCTTCGCACTCCCATGTTACTCGGTCGAAGATCGGTCCACCTTGCGATCTTCGAATGCCCAAAAGGGCTCACTGAGATCTCTGAAGAGGGCCCATAGATGGCCCAAGACCTGATCTGGCCCATGAGGACGTACGGAGTGACCCAAGACGGCCTGGTAGAGCAAAAAGACGCCCCCCCAAATGCCCCGAGGTATGCCCCAGAGGGTCAAGAGTGCCCCAAGATGTTCCAAGAGAGTCCTAAAACAAAACGGCCCAAGAAGGCCCCAAGACGCTCCAAAATGTTCCCCAAGCGACCCGATACTACCTCATAGAAGCTCAAGACAGCCCCAAGACGGTATAACTGATCCCTATGAGAGCTCCTCAAGAAGTGGAGACGAGGAGATGTCGCATGTGACGGTCTACCCCTTCCTCATCCTAATCAGTTTCCACATATTCTAACTCCACCCCAATACGAGCTTGTAGGAATCAAACATCTCCCCAAAGCAGCCGAGGTGTCACATGTGCCAGCAAATTGGCGTTGCTTCGTTCGTCGTCACACAGAAGTCTGTCTCCTCCTCCTCCTCCTCATCATCATCATCACCATCATCATCATCATCACCACCACCACCATCATCATCATCACCACCATCACCATCATCAGCAGCAGTATCATCCATCATCATCATCATCATCATCATCATCACCAGCATCATCATCATCATCATCAGCATCAACATCAGCATCATCATCATCGTCGTTCCTTCCTCCTGCTTCTTCTCCTCCTCCTCCTCCTCGTCCTCCCCTTCGTCTCCATCATCATCCTGCTCCGCCCAAAGACGGCTTCATAACAATCCAACATGGCCGGAAGACGGTCGATATGTCACATGTGGAAGGATTCTGCGCATTGCTCCAAACGCTACACCAGCCTCACCATGGCGGCGTTCGAGAGGTAACCCTTCACACTCTCGATTCTGGATTCTCCGCACGAGACTCCACCTCGTCACCATGATGTGTCTCATCCTCGCCGTCTGCCACAATCCTCTTCTGCCAAAATCCTCTTCCTTCTCGTTGTTGTTATCCTCCTCCTCCTCGTCATCATCATAATCATTACCAGCAAGATCATCATCATCAGCATCATCATATTCATCATATTCATCAGATTCATCATATTCATCATGTTCATCATCATCACCATCATCACCAGCATCGTTATCATAACCACCATCATCATTATCATCGTCATCATTATCACCATCACCATCACCGTCATCATCATCATCGTCGTCATCATCAGCACCATCATCAGCATCCTCATTGTCTTCATCATCAACATCATCAATCCCAACGCCAACAGCAGCAACATCGCCTTCATCAGCAGCATCATCATCAGCAGCCTCCGAATCATCATCAGCATCAGCATCATCAGCATCAACCTCATCGTCATCGTCGTCGTCATCACCATCACCATCACCATAATCACTACCAGCAAAATCATCATCATCATCATCATCATCAGCATCCTCACTTTCTTCATCCTATATAAACATCATCAACTTCAACGCCAACAGCAGCGAGATCGCCATCATCATCAGCATCATCAGCAGCCTCAGCATCAACACCATCATCATCAGCATCATCAACATCATCATCATCATCATCGTCGTCATTGTCATCATCATCACCTCATGAATCATCAGCATCATCATCAACATTAGCATCATCATTACCATCATCATCGTCCTCGTCAGCATCATCATCATCATCATCATCATCATCATCATCATTATCATCCTCATCAACATCACCATAACTATTACCATTATCATCATCCACATCTTCATCACCATCACCATCATCATCAGCATCACCAACCATCAGCGTCAACAGCAGTAACCTCGCCACATCTTCATCACCATCATCATCAAAATCATCATCACCGCCACCATCACCATCACCATCACCATCACCGTCACCATCACCATCATCATCATCACCATCATCATCATCATCATCATCAGCATCCTCATCATGATCATGATCATCATCATCAGCATCATCATCATCACCATCATCGTCATCATCAATCAACGGTCTGATAGCAATAGCAGATGGCACAACAACGGCCGAAATGTCACATATGATAGTATTCTAGACGTTGCTCCAACCGTCGCACCACAAAGCGTACTTGCTGGCGCTCGAGGAGCAACCGCTTCCAACCGTGAAGGACGGGGCGTGAGAAAGGAAGAAACACGGCGAGGAGGTCGGGCAGGAGGAACACAGGAGAAGGGAACATCAGGACAGCACGAGGCCGACACCGAGGACGAGGAGGGACACACCGACACGGCGCGGGAGACATGCTGCGGCCCCGAGAAGCCGCGACAATGAGAGCGAGACACCAGCTTCGGGATGGGCTAGTGACGGGACGCGAAGCGGTCAGAACGATTCAAGGACGGGGCTCCTAATTCTGCGAGCGCGGCTGCAGGTAATTGGCCTCGACGGCGTCAGTGCAGGTCTTGCTTTGTGGCCCAGGGAGGACGCCAGCAGAACAACCCCCCTGGGCGGCTCGAGAGAAAAAACAACGGCGAACCAAACCTGTCGATTCTTGGGCCCCTGGGAACCCGTTTCAATCGGGCCACAGAGGGCGTCAATCCACGACCTGCGGCGGAATCCAGCCCTGGGTGGGAAACGAAAAGGTCCCGTCACCCGTACTCCGGACCTCGTGCACGAGGCATCGGCGCCGACGGCATGGAGAGAAACGGGCTCCACATCGAATCGCATCGGCGATGCATCGGCAATGCGGCGCGATGCTCGGCCCCATCTGCTCGGATCCCATCTGGGAGGCCTCGAGGCCAGGAGCTCGAGGCGAATCCAGCCGTGGCGAGGGCAGCCGCATAAACGTGTTTCCCTCCTCGGACTCCGACATTGGGGGACGTAAAGGTGGGATTAGGGGCATAGATGGGTCAGAGGAGCAACTGTCAACACGGCCCCTGTAAGGAGTAAAAGTTCGCATCCAGCTGGATACGTTCCCTAACCCCACCCTGTGATAACCCTCCTCTACGAGCCCCCGAAGGGATGGTGTCGAGAGCTCCAGGGAGGCCCCAGGCCAAGGCAGAAGAAAACGCGGCCTCTCGGATGCCGAGGGGCGAGGGGCGGGGCGGACGCCGATCCCGGCCAGTGCCAGCCTGGGCCTGGCCAGGGTCGGGGCGCGCACCCGACTGCCCCCGAGGTCGTGACTGCCTCGCACCGACGGGCCTCCCGAGAAGGCCCGCCCCTTCTCACTTCCCCCCCCGGGCTCGCCGCCAAATTTCTCAACTTTTCCACCTCTGGGGGGCCCTCCCGGGCCGTCCCGTGGCCCCCGCACGTCGCTCCGCCGCCAGCCGCTCGCGAGGGCGCGGCCTCACGCGCCGCCGAGCAGCGGGCCTGACCTGATGGTGAGCTCGAGGTCGCCGGCGCCCTGGGCCCCGGCGGGCGCGCGGAGCGGAGCGGAGCGGGGCGAGCCGGGGAGGGCCGCTCCCAGACGACGGGCAGTGTTCGGCCGCTTCTGGCCTCCAGGTGTTCGCGCCAGGCCCGGGGACCGTCGCGACCCGTCGAGACGTCCAGGGGTCCACGCCGCGAGAGAAAACACTGCGCCAGGGGTCTCGGGAGCGGGCCGGGGAGGAGGGCCCGTCGAGGCACCGGCGGCCCTCCCTGCCGCTCCTCGCCCTTGGCTGGGCATCCTGGGAGCTCCTTCTTCTCGCCACGGCTGGATCTGACCCGAAAAAAACTGCCCAGGGCGGATCCCAGGGAGGGGTCCAGGGGACAGAGTTAAGTCGGGCGTGTCCCTCTACAGGGGGAATAATCACCCCCCCAAAAAAAACAATAATGATATTACTACTACTACTACTACTACTACTACTACTACTACTACTACTACTACTACTACTACTACTACTACTACTACTACTACTACTACTACTATTGCTACTACTACTACTACTACTACTAATAATAATACTAATAATAACATTAGTAATAATAATAGTAATGGTAATAATAATACAACTAATACTACTAATAATAATGATGGTAATGATGATAAGAATAATACAAATGAGAATAATAATAATGCGAATGAAAATAACAATAATAATGGTAATGATAAGAAGAATGATGACAATAATAATAATAATCATAATAATTAGTCTGGGGACGACTTTCTTGTTGTATGTCTTGACCCTTTGGGGGCATTGTTTGACTACTATGTCTACTGTTCGTCCAAAGTCCCCCCTGCAGGAGAACAGGCCCGACTCAAGGCCAGAGCCTGAGCGCAGCTGGGACGGGCGGGAGAGCTGCCGTTGTCGCAGTTCGCCCTCCGCCGAGGGCCGCACGGCGGCGCCACCCGGTCCGCGCGGGAGAGAGGGGAGGGGCCCGCCAACCGAACCCTGAACATGGGGCGAGGAGCGAGGAGCGAGGAGGAGGAGGAGGAAGAGGAGGAGGAGCGAGGAGGAGGAGCGAGGAGGAGGAGCGAGGAGGAGGAGCGAGGAGGAGGAGCGAGGAGGAGGAGGAGCGAGAGGAGGAGGAGGAGGAGGAGGGAGGAGGAGCAGAGGAGGAGGAGGAGCAGGAGGAGGAGCAGGAGCGAGGAGCGAGGAGCGAGGAGCGAGGAGCGAGGAGCGAGGAGCGAGGAGCGAGGAGGAGGAGGAGGAGGAGGAGGAGGAGGAGGAGGAGGAGGAGCGAGGAGGAGGGGGGGGAGGGGGAGTTACCAAGAGGGGTGAAGGGGAGGAGGTGGGGGGGGGGCCTGACACTCATGGTCTGCCAAAGTTTGGCCAACTGCACTGCGCCGCTGATCTGAAGCCTGCGACGCTCCGTCCACGAGGCCCCCCGCAACCTTCCCATATAACCCCTCCCAGCAACGTCCTAGACGCCTGACCTCCTTACGCCAGCACAGCAGCTTGAGGACAGGCTGGGGGAAGGGAAGGGGCGGGGGCGAGAGGGAGCGCGAGGTCGCCAACCGTCCTGTGCCTCGGGGCGTGGGCGGAGCGAAGCGGACCGCGTGGCGATGCTGGGTTGGCCCGCGCGGGAAGGTGCGGTGACAGCGAGCTCGAGGCCGCCGGCGCCCCAGGCCCGTTCGCGCCCAGATCTGTGGGGGCGTGTCCGATGGAACTGTGAGTCGGGGCGGGGTGGATAGACATGTCCGCTCTGTCAGCCCAAAGCCACCGCGATGTAGCAGCCGTGACACTTGGATCTCTCAAGGGGAAGCCGCCACGGGGGACGCACGGGCCCTTTCGCGCTCAGTCTGTGGGTGTGTCTCAGGTATAATGGTCGAACGCTGCGGTAGGCACGTCTTTTCTCACAGCCCCGAGATCACCGAGATGTAGCAAGCATGGCACTTGGGCATCCCCAGAGGGAGCTACCCAGGGGTATTGCACGGACCCGTTCGGTCCACCATTTCGGGGACGTCCTCGGTAGAACGGCAGGGTGGGTCGGCGGATGGCGGTTGAGAGGTCTCCTTTCAGGACTTCCATACTATCGCAATCGTTGCACGGGCCCGTGTACGCCGATATTTCAGGGACGTCTTCGGTAGGATTGCGGCTCGGAGCGGCGGATACATGTTTCAGATGTTTCATGTTGCACCAGCGCGATGCAGCAAGCATAGCACTCAGGCATCCCACGGGAGAGCCGACGGAGGGTATTGCACGGGCCCGTTCGCGTTCAGATTGTGGAGTTGTCTCTGGTAGAACGGCCGTCTGGGGCGATGGACATGTCTCTCTTCAGAGCCATATGATCATCGTGATGTAGCAGACATGGCACTTGGGCATCCCAAGGGGGAGCCGCCAAGGATAATGCTGGATGTATCCCACGTAGAGAGGCCTTCGGGGGCGGACATGCCCCCCTTCAAAGCCGAAAATGCCGTCGCGATGTCGCAGCCCGTGGATATACAGAATGGCTCTATAGCTGCTCGGATTCATGAGATTCCACGAAACAGCCGCCATAGGGGTACTCCACAGGCCCGTTCGCGCCCAGATCATCGAAACAGCTCAAGTGGACTGGCAATTTTTGTTGGGGGATGGGCAGACGCGTGTGTATCTCTTCAGAGCCCCGTGACCACATAGAACATGTGCGTGCATTAAGAAGGTGGCGGGGCGACCAAAATGTTCCCGTCCAAAATGCAAGGCAAGTTCCGCGAGGATTTCTGGGATCGTCCATTCCACTCTTTTCTCCCCCCCCTTGCTCCCCGAACCCCCCCCCTCCTCCAACTCCCACTGCCCCTATCCTTCCTCCTCCTCCTCCTCCTCCTCCTCCTCCTCCCCCTCCTCCTCCCCTCGTCCTCCTCGAGCCAGTCCTCCTCGCTCTCCCCCCCCCCCTCCTGCTTCCCTCACTCCCTCCCTCACCCCTCCTCTCCCTCCCGCCCCCCTCCTCCTCGTCTCCTCGCTCCTCCCTCCCTCCCCTCTCTCCCCCCTCTCCCTCCTTCTCTCGTCGCCGACGACAACGACGACCACCACCACCGCCGCCAACCCGCGGCGACAACGCGAGCGGAGGAGCGCAGGCTGGCCATCCCCCGGGGTGCCTCTGGCGTGCCCCGGCTGCTCCCCGCCCGCAGCGGGTCCACCGTGGGGGGCCTCGGGTTTTGCTCGTCGTCGTCGTTCTCGTCGTCGTCGTCGTCGTCGTCGTCGTCGTCGTCGTCCTCGTCGTCCTCGTCGTCCTCGTCGCCCTCGTCGCCCTCGTCGCCGTCGTCGTCGTCGTCGTCGTCGTCGTCGTCGTCGTCGTCGTCGTCTGGGGGGGCCTTTCCCTCCTCCTCCTCCTCCTCCTCCTCCTCCTTCTCCTCCTCCTCCTCCTCTTCTCTTCCCCCTCCTCCTTCACTTAGTCCTCCTCCTCCTCCTCCTCCTCCTCCCCTCCCCGGAGAGGGAGAGGGAGAGAGGAGGGGAAGGAGGGAGGGAGGGAGGGAAGGAACTGAGGGCGGATAACATCGAGAAGATGGAGTGAAGGAGGAGGAAAGAGGATTTGGAAGGAGGGAAGAGGAGAGATGAAGAAAGCTTGGAGCTGGGTTGGCCTACCTCCCAAGAGGCAAACCCACAAGAGCAAGCGGAACGGAATTGGCCATAAACCAGCGAAACGGCGGTGCTCGTAATCAGCATCCTCATTATCATAATCGACAGCATCATCGTCATCATCATCATCATCATCATCAGCAGCAGCAGCAGCATCATCATCATCCTCATCATCATCACCACCATCACCATCATCATCATCATCATCATCACCATCACCATCACCATCATCATCATCATCATCATCATCATCATCATCATCATCATCATCATCATCATCATGGTCATCAGCATCATCATCATCATCACCATCATCACCGACGTCAAATAAAAACATCTGGCAATGCGACGCGGGCGGCAGAAATAGACGCACGGGTCCGCAGCCACGGCATCGCCTCACTCATGATACAGTTGGAGGGTCGCGGGTACGAGAGGTCCTAGTGATAGGTGCATTCTGCTTGGGAGCAAGCCCATCTAGCATACGCTCCAAACGATCGCGGACGCTTCGATAAGCCGATTTGCGCGGCGTGATAAGGTTTAAGACATTAATCGAAGAGTCTAGCCCGCAGAGCCAACATTCATCACATCATTCTCCATGCCATGAGCCTGGCAACGAGATCTCTGTGCGGGTTGGATAGATACCCAACAAGCCGAACAGCCGCAACGCTTGACACACCTTGGTCCTTGGTCCCAGGCTAACCAACGGAGCACCTCTCGAGCAGGGAGGAGAAGTGAGAGGTACAGGAGGACCAGAGAGAGAGAGAGGAAAGGGAGGAGAAGGATGACGGTGGAGGCCGTCTACCTTGGTGAGGGCCCTGCTGGCCAGGGGAGGGGGTCATTGCGAGCTGAGGCTCTGCGGACGCCCGACGCGCGAAAAGGGGGGGGGATGGGGGGGGGATGAGGCAGGGTGGACGCGGAGGGTGTGGAGGAGGATGGGGAGGAGGATCTGCAGGAGGAGGACGTGACATGCTCTTCGTGATCCTCCAACTCCTGATTAAGCACCTCGCTCCTACGAGGACATCATCCTTCTCGTCCGCCTGATCCTCCTGATCCTCCGCCTGATCCTCCTGGCCCTCGTCCTCGTCCTCCTCCTCCTCCTCTTCCTCTTCCAGTTCCACGTCCTCTTCCTGATCCGCCTCCTCCTCCTGCGACGACGACGACGACGTTCGTGCGTTAGTGACTCTGCTTGCCTTGAGGATTGCGGAAACCCGCATGCAGGCAGATCTGAAGTTAGAAGTTGAAGTCGTCGGTTCAGCCAAAACTCTTTGAGATCAGCCCACCGCTCTTTGTCCATAGCCATGCTCTGCTAGTCGTCGCCCACGGCTTTAGGACATTGGTGCTCTCATCGCCACATGTGACGCCATTTTCCATGACACTGTTGGCCACATGACTTTTCCAGCTGTCGGAAAAAGATGCAGTGCCCCCGAATCGCAAAGCCTGTCAGGCGATCCTAGCTTGCGTGCTTACACATACGCGCCGCATGCCAAGCCCAGGTACAAACTCTCCCTAAGTAGTCAGATTCTGTCACAGCGCTCCAACTTGCATTTGGACCGCAGCTTGTTTAGCTTCTCACTGAGTGCCTGGCAATGAAAACCAATGACATCGCACTCCTGGTGCGTCTCCACCAGGGTGTCGAGCTTGGCCCCAAGCACACTTCGCATCATCTTGCTCTGAGGGGTGCCTCTTCGTGACATGCAAAACTCCGATGTTGAAGGTGAGCGCCGGCAAGATGAACTCGACGACGACTGGAGCCCGTCGCCCCGCGCCAAGCGCGGGGTGCAGCCGACTAAGCATCCGGCCCGTCGTAGCGCCACCTCGGGTTGGCAGACGAGGGCCGCCCGGCGGACCTGCACGGAGTAGGGGACGCGCCCTCCCACTTCCTGGTCGTCCTCCCCTCCATCCTCCCTCCCCCTGCTAGTCCTTCCGCTCCCTTCTCCCTCTTGCTCGTACTGGCCCCCCCATCCCTCCTGCTGCCTGCCTTCCCCCACACGCCTCCTTCCCCTCCTCTCTGAATGCGCGGCCCCGGCACCAAATCCGTCTCAGACCTGGTGACCACCAGAGCCAGGCGCAGACATCAAACAACACAATCGCCCAAGACGGCCCAAGATGCACCCGAGATAGCTCTAAGACAGCACATGTGGCTTCCAAAGAGGGTACCGAGTCGGCCCAAGAGGACCCCAAGATCGCCCAAAAGTCTCCCAAGAGAGCCCCAAGGGCAGCCTAAAGCGCTCCAAGAGGGCAGCGAGGCAGCCCAGAGAACCCCTAAGACGGCCTCCGAAAGCGTCAGACAGGACAAGAGCCCCCATATGACGGCCCAAGAGGCCCCAAGAGGCCCCCCAAAGGCCCCAGCAAGCTCCCGAGGAGGCGAACGGAAATGTTGTTCTGCCTTACCTGATTAAAGAATCTGGAAGTTCGAACCTGCTTGTGTTTCCGACCGTCCGAGATGACATAAGAGGCCTCCAAAGGTGCACAAGTTGGCCCAAGAGGACCTCAAGATCGCCCAAGAGCCCCCCAAGAGGGTAGCAAGGCGGCCCAGAGAGGCCCCCAGGACGGCCTCTGAAGGCGTCAGACAAGCCAAGAACCACCAAGAGGCCCCGAAGATGCCTTCTCCGCCTTGTCTTCGTGTTCTCCCCCTCCTCCTCCTGCTCCTGCTCCTCTTCCATCTCCTGCTTTCCGCGTGGACGAAGATTAGGTTGGGTTCGCGACCCGCCTCAATTCAGACCGCATACTGAACTGCAGCAGGGCGTGAACTCGACCTCCCCCTACCACGCGGACGAAGACGAGGTCGAGTTCACGACCTGTCCCAAATGCGAACAATTGCCGAAACTGCACTGTTCCCAAAATCAGTCTCATTCCTGCTGCACTGTTGCACTGGCACGGTAGCGGGGTTTGCCGCAGGCAGCTGGAACAATAATCACCCGAGACGTACCCAGCCCCTTCTCCACGGGAGGCGAATCTGTGCATGGACCCTCCATACAAAGGAACACATCGCCAGATGTGCACGCTCTAAGATGCCCGCAACTCCGCCGCGCCTGCCAGGAGCCCACGAACGAGGCGACAATTGTGCAGATCGTAGCCTCCCTAGGATCCGCGAGGTCTCGGCTGGGTCCGTGTGGCCCCCGACTCCGCTGTACCTCCAAGGAGCCCACGACAGTGGCGACTGTTGCGCAGTTCGCAGCCACCCAAGGAGCTGCGAGGTCTCGGCTGGACCAAACTCCGCCGTGCCTCCTAGGAGTCCACGAAAGTGGCAATACTTGCGCAATTCGCAGCCGCCCAAGGAGCTGCGAGGTCTCGGGTACATCCTACTCCGCCGTGCCTCCCAGGAACCCAAGACAGTGGCGACAATTGCGCAACTCGCAACCACCCAAGGAACTGCGAGGTCTCGGATACTCGCCTACTCCGCCGTGTCTCCCAGAAGCCCACGAAAGCGGCGACAGTCGAGCAGTTTGCAGCCGCCCCAGGGAGCAACGCAGGAGGAGGGGGGAGGAGGGGGGAGGGAGGACGAAGGAGGATGAGGAGAGGACTCAGGTGTGCGAGAAGAGGACGACGGAGGGGAGAGGAGCGGGAGGGGAGGACGAAGGAGGAGGAGGAGGAATTTTGGGAAATAAATGCACATGTGCTTATACATACACCCATATACATCCACATGAATGTGCACACACCCCTATACGCCGGCCCACCCACCTCACACGGGAACTTCATCACAAACGAGAGAAATAGACAGAGATGGAGAGGGAGAGGAAAAGAAAGAACGAGAGGTAGAGAGAACGACGGATAAGTTGAGATAGTGAGAGAGAGAGAGACATGTAGAGAAACCAAAGAGAGAGAGAGAGAGAGAGAGAGAGAGGGAAAGAGTCACTTAACGCTCTACGTTATGACGTATACCCAAATATGTTATACTACACTCAGGTCAAACCCGCTGTCTTCTACTCCGTTATTATCGATGGTGTTCCCTACCAGGTGCTAGACTCTGCTGTAACAGCTACTCCAGGCTACTCTACTCTAGTCTACTCTACGTTGTCTCCTCTCTCAACTCTCGACCCAGAATGTTCTGCCCTTCACATACTATACCCTTCCTTCACCCCCTACCCCTACCCTCCACCCTCTACACATCATCCGCTCTACCCCCACGGTCTACTCTACTTTCTGCCATCCGCTCTGCTATCGACTCTCCACGCTCTGCGCTGTGCCCTCTACTCGAGCAAAGTAGTTTTCTCTTCGGCTTTGCTCGACTGCTGCCAGTGAGTAGCGTAGAGACCAACCTAGAGAGTAGTGCGTGGAGTGATCCTATAGAGGGTAGAGGCTACAGTAGAACAGGGTAGAGAAGTCTGTCAAACAGTGTAATTTCAGGAGTAGAGAGCAGAGCTGATGCGGAAGCATGGAATAGAGTGCGGGTATTAGATGATACGGTAGAGAGCATGCCATATGACAGGGGCTGTGCGTGAGTAGCAGAACGAAGTAACGAGAAAGAGAGAGAGAACGTAGAGTAGAGTAGAGTGGAGAATGGGGTAAGTGGTGGAGTAGATGACAGAGTAAACGAGCGGGGTGCGTTGCGCCATAGAGAATATGGTGTTAGATCGTGTGCATGGCGTCCATTAGGATTGCATATGTTGGAGAAGAAGACTAAGTGGGTATAAGAGAGCAGGCTAGCGCATGGCTGGGTAGCATCGCAGATAATAGAGTCGAGTAGTGTAGCGAAGGATCGGCATAGAGTCGAGCAGGGGCGGAGTAGAGTCGAGTAAGATAGGGTTAGATTATGTTAGGATAGGGTGGATAATACAATCAACTATATTTGACTGTCGACCAGGATCGGGTAGATGGGGTCCAGTCGGTAAGAACAGACTAGCGTACAGCAGGGCCGAGCAGAGGATTGTATCTCCTGGTGGAGCAGCAATCGAGTATGCGTGTTCAGGTAGTATGAAGGGTTCGGGTAAAGTAAACAGACTTGACTCGAGTAGATTAGGATCGGGTAGGTTCGAGCAGAGGAAGGTAGAGTAAAGCAACGTAGCGTAGAGCAGAGTATGGTAGGTGAGAACGTAGCGTGGGTACACTAGAGCAAATACGTTGCAGAGTATAACTGAGTGAAACATAATAGTAGATGATGGGAGCGATTAGAATACACTAAGCGAGGGTAGGGCATACTATGGCATACTAAAGTTGAGTAGGTGGGGGTCGAGTAAGGTAGGGTGGAATCGAATCGGCTAGGGTAGGCCAGTGTAGTGTAGAGCATAATCGGGTCGATGCTAACATAATGCGAATATGCGATAATATATTGGCGTAGAACGGAACATGATAGAGCAACGTTGGCCAGAGTATAATAGAGTAGACTCGAGTAGGTGCAGAGTAGAGTAGGAGTAGCGTAGAAACGAGTAAGGTACAGTAGAGTAGAGTAGGTTACAGCAGAGAATCGTAGAGCGGGGGGCCATGGTGGAGTAGAGTCGGCCAGGCTCCACCCAAGTCTAGTCCAGCCCAGTCGGCTTGAGTCCACTCCAGCCAACTTCACTTCGGTCGTCTGATGCATTTGGGGTCTGCGCTGGCTGGCCTTCGATAATCAAGGGTCCCAGATTAGACACCCAAGGCCCCCTCCAAAATCCACGGTACTGGCAATCTAAATGAAGTCCGATCGGAATCCAACTGAAATCTTCTGGATCTGTGCCCAAATGCGTGCTACCTGGATTACAACCAGGATCCAGTAGTTAAATCAATGTGGGGATCTCTAGACCGGGAACCTGATTTATTCTAATTGAGAGCTTCTCGTCTCAGAGGTTCCCAAACAGCCCAAACAGGAGGACGCCTCCCGCCTGAGAGGTCCTCAATCATTAACAAGAGTTAAAACAAGAGGAGGCTCCCGCCTGAGAGGCCCGATCAAAATCCAAACAGGAGGGGATTCCCGCCTGAGAGGTCCCCCAAAAAACCAGCATGAGGCGGCCCCCGCCCGAGAGGTTCCCCGAATATCCAAGCAGGAGAAGGCTCCCGCCTGAGAGGTCCCCCAACAACCCAAACAGGATGAGGCTCTCGCCTGAGGGGTCCTAAAACAACCCGAAGAAATCCAAACACCATGCTTATCATCCTTGTAACTGTCACCACAAAGCCCACACACCCCGCGGTTCCAAAGGAGGCGACAACTCTTGTCAACGCATCTGGGACAGCGGCGCCGGTTCTCTGGAACCTCTGGGGTTTTTGATTGTTTGGGACAGGTACAAGGATGAGAGGCGGACCTCTTGGGATTGGTGTTGTGAATTCTTTGAGAAACATGTTCTTGAAGTCGTCATGGGACCTTCTTGACATGTTTTCGGGAGCCTCTTAGAAAGAGTTGAGTTTTGAAACCTTTTGGGTGCCGTCTTGGGGTCTCTTGGGGGCCTCTTTCGGGCTTCTTGGGGGCCTCTTGGGGCCTCTTGGGAGCCTATTGGGGCTTCCCAGGGGCCTCTTGGGGGCATCTTGGGGGGAGAGCTTGATTCTTCAGTTCGCGTTCCCTCTCTTGGGCCCCTCTTGGGGCCTTCTTGGGACCCTCTTGCGCTGTCTTGGGCGGCTCTGGGGCCATCTTGGGGCGGAGAGCTTGATTTTTCAGTTCGCGTTTCCTCTCTTGGGCCCCTCTTGGGGCCTTGTTGGGACCCTCTTGCGCCGTCTTGGGCGGCTATGGGGCCATCTCGGGGCTCTCTTGTGCCGTCTGAGGGCCCTCCTGGGGGCCTCGTGGGCCCTCTGGGAGCGGTTTGGGGGGCCTCTTGGGCGGTGCTTTAGCGCCGGGAACAAGACACATCGAGAATGCAAAAAGCATGCGAAAAAAATACAAATCAACGATTTTGCCCTCTCGGGGCGCCCTTGGGCGGCACCTTAAAGGCCTCTCGGG